TCTTATTTACTGCACCACCTACCTGCCCTGTGCTTGAACAATAGCTCTGAAAAAATAATAAACAAATGTTATAGGAACTCAGAGGAGGGAGAAATCACCATGTTTAGTGTAGTCAAGGAAACCTTTCTGGAGGAGGTAAGATTTGAGCTGGGCCAAGGGATGGATAGGATTCACAGAGAGGAAGGGTGGACAGACAGTTCTAAGCAGAAAACTGGGGAATCAGAGGTCCTGGAGACAAGAAAGTATTGAACTTTGGAGGATCAGTGAGCAGAGCAGTATGGTTCTGTTAGAGAATAATGGGAGCTAAGTCTGGGAAAGTAGAAGAAAGGATTGCGAAGGTCTTTTGTGTTCTATTACTCTACTTCTTTCTCTCTTTTTATTCTATCTCTTGTTCCTCCATTTCCTTTCCCTGCTTCCACACCCCAGGCCAGTGGTTGAGGTCCACAGCCAAATAGATCAACTTTTTCCAGACCCCTTACCACTAGGAGAGCACTGAATTCCAAGAGGCTCATAGGGGGTATAGGGAACAGGGCACTATCCCCTTACCTCTACTGAAAAAGGAAAAGGGAGCCTGGGGTTAAAGCCATTATCCACAATAGGATCCTTTTGATTTCTTGAATCCAAATTGCCACAGTTCTTAAAAGTAAGGCTGAACTAGAGTGTGTTGTATGTAATAGGCACTTAATATTTGTTGAATGGATGGATGGATAGGTGGATGGGTAGATGGGTAGGTGAGTGGGTGGGTAAATGGATGAGTGTGTGAGTGGGAGATGGATGAGTGGATGAATGGATAGGTGGATGGGTGAATGGATGGATGGATGAATGGATGGCTGGCTGGTTGGGTGGATGGGCAGATGGATAGATGAATGAGCAGATAAATGAGTGGATGGATGGGTAAAGTAGGGAGAACAATGAAGAGATAAGGGGTAGACAGAATGAGCTACTTTGAACTATATAAAGCTGGAAAGTTCCTTATAGATCAGTTAGTTAATAAATGTTTATTAAACGCACATAGTGCCACTATGGCACTATGTGCCAATCAAGTGTTAGACACTGGGAATAAAAAAAGAGAACTAGTTCCTGCCTTTCAGGATCTCACATTCTATTGGGGGAAATAACATGAATATGTAGAATCAAATATGAAATATGTATAGAGTAATTCATGGTGCACCAGTAGCTGCAGGTATCAGGAAAAGCCTCACGTAGATGGAACTAAAGCCAAACTTTGACAGAGTTGGCGACTCTAAAAATCAGAAATGAAGAGAGTGCATTCTAGGCATGGGGAAACAGCCTTCACAAAGTCATGAAGATGGGTGTTGGAATGCCATGTATAAGGAGTACAATATTTCTTAAGCTAAACCATACTGAGGACCAGAAATACAGTTTTTAATTCTCTATCATGAATGACTCCTCTCTCTACGCTACAACTCTCTAGAATTCAGAGAGCAGGGCCTGATAATGGGAGAGAAACAGGGAATCAAGGGTAAGACATATAAGAAGTAGGAAGAAGGAGATTTTTATGTTTCAGGTTTTGAGAAGTGAGGACTTGGGGTAGAAAAATGGTATGCAGACCAGGAAAAATTTGCTTGGCATCAGAAGCCAGGAAACACTGGTCCAGTTCCAAACATTTCTTTTACAGCAGAGGTAAATGTGACCTATCACATACCTTATAGATTTAAAGGAGTAAGTAGTGATCTCTGGATCCTGTCTAGCCCTGGACCCATCCAATCTATCTGCTATTCCCACCCCTGTTCTACCTGGATTTACAGAACCAAACCATGGGAAACTAATACTCCCCCCCCAACCCAAGACTAAATGACCAAATGTGCAGCCAGTCAACATGCCTTTACCTCTACTGATCATTCTAAGGAATCAGAAGCCATGGTTCAAGCTTTTGAGGATTGAAAGGAGGGTCTTGGTAGAAGGCTAGCCATGGAGCTAAACCCCCTTCTGGCCTTGTGCCCTGGGCAGCTGCTCCCTTGACAGTAGCCTAGTTCCACTATTTCTCTTAGGAAAAGTTCAAATAAATCAGAATTCTGGCATCACTGAGATCTGAGTGCCTGGGAAATCATTGTCAGGCGGGCTGTTCCATCATATTTACAGTAAGCTTTTAGTTTTTTTTTTCAAGCAGAATCAAAATGAGGAACCACTTAGTCATTAGCTCCTTCTAGTTAAATGCATTAAACTCTCTCTGTCTCTGTCTCTGTCTCTCTCTCTCTGTCTCTCTCTCTCTCTGTCTCTGTCTCTCTCTCTCTCTCTCTCTCTCTCTCTCTCTCACACACACACACACACACACACACACACACACACACACACACACACGTATGCACTCTCCTACAAACTTTATTAAATACACACCAGGGATCAGGCATCCATAAGGGGCCAGGGCCCAGGGAAGAAGGCTTACCTCCCCTGTCACTCTCCCCAGGCTAATCAAAACGAATACTTTTCAAGAACAGCACTTTGAGAAAATGTCACTCTGCTGGGTCGGAATTCATCACATAGCCCGCCACAGCAGCTATAATCTTTAATCATCTGGAGCAATCAAAACAAAAAAAAAAACCAAATAGCATTGCAGGCTATGGCTCAGTGCTGGCTCATGGTGAAATGCCCCGTCACTGCAGTGACAGGAGCTGGAAGCTTGGGAGCTAAGAGCTGTGGTTCCACCAATCCTGTCACCTTCAGCTGCCACACACTCCCTAGATAGATGGTTCTATAGTAATAATGATGAGAGCTCCCTTAATATAGTCTTTTTCAGTTTACATCGTGCTTCCCTAGAGGTAATCCTGTGAAGTAGGGGAGTGCAAAAGGTGCTATACCCATTTAACAGATGGGGAGATAAGCCTACTTTCAGGCCAGGCTCTGTGCTAGAGGAAGAATTCCTGTCTTCAAGAACTGTACAATCTAGTCATACAAATCAAAAGCTGCCCATGCTAATTACAATGTGGCACAAAGACCTAGATTCCTTAAAGACCACTTTCTCCAGGGAGAGTTTTAAAGCAGACTTCAAGGTGATTTTCCTTCCCACCCAGTGACTTCACTCCATCATCCTCCCTTCTCTCTCCCATTCACGTCACAACTGAATGATGAACATGAAACCCTATACTTAGAGTAAGCTTTTTGAGAACAGGGGCAGTTACATTGTTGTCATTGTTTTGAGAAGTGAGGACTTGGGGTAGTGTGCTATATGCCTGGCACATAGTATGCACTTAATAAATACTGCTTGAATGTAAATAGAATTTAATTTAAGTCTTTATTCCTAGATGTGGCTTTTGCTGTGTTTTCCTATGAGTTTGTAGCACTGTCATTTGAATTCTTGGCTCTTCATCTGAGAATTTCAGAACTGAGAACAACAGAATTGGAAGGTGGAGGGATACCTTAGAGATTATCTAGATCCCATTCGCCTCAGCCCACTTCCCCACACACCTTTGTTTTTGCAGAGATAAAAATTAAAGCCAGAAGCCAAGAGGGGGAAAATGCCATGTCCAGAGTCATAGAGTGAATCAGTGGCAGAGCCCCAAATCCAGGTTTTCTGGATTTCCCAGTTCAGTGGTCCATGCACTACATAGGAGTATCAATGGTCATGAATTGGAAGTCTCAACACTGGAACCAAGAACACCAAATCTCCTCCATAATGAAATCAGTATTCACAGGTGTGACTCCTGCTATGAGAATCAGGTCCATGTATAGGTTAGCTACTAACTAGCTGTGTGATGCTGGACAATTCACCCTCCTCATCTCTGGGTCTCAGTTGCCTTAGCTGTAAAATGAAGGGGTTGGACCAGATGTCCTTTAATTAGGGTTTCTTCCAGCTCTACCATGAATTATGATTCCATTAATTGTAAAATTACGATTCTATTAATCTTAGGTAATTGTGCCATTCGTATGCTTAGCTACATGAGGATGAGCTTTTCTGTACTCTGAAGAGGGACAGGTTTAAACTGTATCATCAGAGTTTTAGAGTAGGTCTCAAGATACCCAACTGAATCTCTGATCTCATTGATTCAGGAGTTCCTTCGAACGATGTAGATTGTAACCTATCCATGTCTGCTCATCCTGTGAGACTCTTTTCTGCATTCTCCCTAAAAGTCACCAGCCCAACAATTTGGACGCCTTCCCTTTCTCCCTCTCCCTCATGATATCACAAGAAAGTGAAGTGGGTTCACCTTATTTAATCATGATCTATTTATTTATTTATTTGTTTGTTTGTATTTATTTTTTTTTTAGGCAATTGGGGTTAAATGACTTGCCCAGGGTCACACAGCTAGTAAGTGTCAAGTGTTTGGTCTGAGGCCGAATTTGAACTCAGGTCCTCCTGACTTCAGGGCCAGTGCCCTATCCACCATGATTTTTTTTAAATAAAAAAGTTTTATTACTGTTTTTTAAAATATTGCTCTCACTCTTCAAAGACTTCCTCTCCCTTGTGGCAGACCTTCCCTTATAACAAAGTAGAGTTGATTTGCTTAATAAAGAACTTGTTTTGATAAATCATTCTTCATGTCTGACAGTGTATGTCACATTCTGCAACAGTAGTCTACCACCTTTCTGCCAAGAGATAGGAAGCTTTAAGTTATGTCTCAAGGAGCATTTCTTGCCAAGTGAAAATTATTAGACTCTGTTGATAGGCATTGTGGAGTTTCCCTCTCTAGGGATCCTTATAAGTGAGGCTAATTCTTTTTTTTTTTTTTTTTGGCTAGGCAATGGAGTTAAGTGACTTGCCCAGAGTCACACAGCTAGTAAGTGTTAAGTGTCTGAGGCCAGATTTGAATGCAGGTCCTCCTGACTCCAAGGCTGGTGCTCTATCCACTGCACCACCCAGCTGCCCCCAAGAGGTTAATTCTTAAAAAACATGTATGTCTGCATTGGAGAAGCAGCAGGAGAGAGTATCCCTCAAGGTTCCACGTATAGTTATGTATTTATTGATATCTGCATGGCTGGCCTTTGGCTAGATTGCGAAGTAGGAGAATTTGCCCCTAGCCTCCTCTTTCTGCCCTTTGCAGGACCCTTCCTAATATCTTCAGGTCAGCAGTGTGCTCCATGCTCTGTTCTTCTTCCTATCAAAACCTGCTCCCAGGTAAGGATTTTATATCAGTCATTTATACCTTAGTGTAAGTAAGTTCAAGGCTCTGTGGTCCCTCTCCTCAAGTGCCTTTTGGTTTGTCTCACTTCTGAATTCAGAGGTGAGCTTTTTATCTCTTCTTAGAGGCATTAGCTAACTGTGTGAGAGAGGTATTTTTGGCTACCTATTCTGCCCAAAGATAAGGCCAGTCCCTGCACGTATGGTTTCCTAGAAGGCAAAGACTATCAGAATAGAGGGAGAAGAAAGCCCTGGACATGGCTTCATGAGTCGCTTGGGTCTAATCTATTTCTGTCACTGACTGTGTGAATTCAGGCAAGTTCCTTCACCATTATGGGTCTCAGTTTCCATTTTTGTCAAATGACCACATTAGACTAGTTTCTAAGGTCTCTCTTAGTCCCATCTTCCTCTTTCAGTTATTTTGTTAAAGCCCGCACATCTTTATTGAATGAGAGTCTCTTTGTATAGGACACTGTGTTGAATTAGCTCTGAAGAGAGCGGGGAGTCATCACATGAGATAAGCTGGTGGCATTCTGCAATGTGATTGTGTAAGTGAGGCTAGTGGGTGCTGAAGAGACCAAAGAACTCTCCCTGAGAGTGTCAACCCCTGTTCCCTTGATCCCAAGCACTGGCATTTGGGTGAGGTCCCGTGAGAGAGAGATTTACTGAATACTGTCGAGGGTATACTATTTGAAGATGGCAAGAGGCCGTCCCCATAACCCAAGGATTAAAATACAGGTTGTTGTTGCTTTGCCACATAGGTCTGCTCCAGCTAGATCCGTTTATAAGTGGATTTCTGTAAAACAAATCCTATTTTCCTGTTGATGTCCATAATAAAAGCAGATGCTTTCTTTTGAAGGGAGCAAAAATTGTGCCGAAAAGACTGACTTGAAAACCCAGAGGGTTAGGATGGCAAAGAGCTCTTTGGTGGGTTATGTATCATACTGGGAGCATTGCTGTGCCTTCTAGGTATTGTAGTCCTCATCCGGGAGTTTATCTTTCCTTTGCTGCTGTATGTCATCATTCTGAGAGGCAGCTGAGGTATAGGGGGAAAGAGAGTTAGAATGGGGGGGAGGGCCCACATTCGCAGAGGACCTGAGTTCAAATACTAGTTCTTCCATGTACTACTTGTGTGATATTGGATAAGTCATTTAGGCCCTTGATCTTCAGGTTCCTCATCTCCAAAAGAGAAATTCGGACTAGAAATCCTTTCAGGTTCCTTCTAACTTTTAAGTTATGATCCTAGGACCTTCTCACAACCCTTTTCATCTTTCCAGGACTATAATAATTATGGATATTCCCAATCTAATAGAGCTGTAGAGCTTCTCAATCTAATGCATAAATAGTAATTATGGATATTCTCAATCTAATAGAGCTATAGAGCTTCTCAATCTAATACATAAATAGTAATTATGGATATTCTTAATCTAATAGAGCTATAGAGCTCAATCTAATACATAAGTAGTAATAGTAATTATGTATATTCTCAATCTAATAGAGCTATAAAGCTTCTCAATCTAATAAATAAATAATAGAGCTTTTCAGTCTAATAAAGCTAATAAAGCTGGGTGTAATGCGTGATTATATTTTGGCTTGAGGATTCAGGTTCTGTAATGTGAATTAATCCCCTGGGTTTTTTTTTTTTTTTCACTTTGAGAAGTTCAAAATTCCGGCTGTAGTTTCCAGTTATAGAAGATTATAGATTTAGAGCTGGAAGGGACCTCAGAGACCATCGTGGTCATTTTACAGATGAAGAAACTGAGGCCCAAGGAGACTAAGTCACTTGATCAAGATCACTTAGAATGAGGGAGGCTTGTGAAGACTCCAGGTGTTCTTTTCGAGTCTGAGCTTTGGAACCTGGAATTATCTCCATCTGTGCCGATCATTTCCCGCCTTAGAGAGAAATCACTAGATGCAATAAGATGATCTCATTTTGGGTTGGTTCTTGGAACTGATATTTCCCCCTTGGGGGGAGGTGGGGAAGTAGGGAGGCAGGAAGAGGACTTAAAAGAAAGCCTTCATTTTCAGTTTTTCCTTGTTATGAAGTACTCAGAGAGGCTGAGCGTGTCAGATCTAGAGAACGTGATTACACAAGAGAGAGATTTTTCAGAAAGGAAAAAAAGGCAAGCCATCAGAAATCCTAATATTGCTACATGAGTTTAAATAAAAAAGTTAGAGATCAAAACACGAGTGGGCTGCAAGCTTGAAAACTTCTCCACCAAACAGCAGCGGGTGTGAAAAAAAAAGCTGTTGAGAAACCACACACACACTACACACACACCACACACACACCACACACACCACACATACCACATACACCACACATACCACACACACCACACACACAAATACGACAAGCCTACGTGTACAGATACAAAGATACTCCTCCCCCACACAGAGAGAGGCCCTGAGAAATGTGGGCCACGAAGGCATTTCTTATTAATTTGTCAGTGGTTTTGCCTGTGAACACCTTGGGGGGAGGGACCCAGGCTTTAGTGGGGTCAGCAAAGCCTGGCACCTGGTCTCCAAGCTCTGTGAATAATCGACACTGCTTCCCCGGCTGGGAACGTGTTGTTTAAACTTAAGAGTTACTCTGCTGACATTCCCAGGGGCATCTCAAACGTTCTACGCACCAAAAAGGACTTATGTAGCCAGTCAAGGCACTCATTTCCGTCTGTTGGAGCTGAGCCCGCAGGATTTAATTCAGTCACCCATGCATTGGGATATCATCAGTTATCACCCATCTCTGCATTCCTATCCTTGTTCTGTAAATGAGAGTTTTGAGAGCTCAAGATTTTTCTGCCTTGGGCCTGAAATGGTCTTTATAAGAATTACTCCATGTAGATAGTTAAGAAAAAGAGACATGGTTTAATCAGGGGGAAAAAAGCCACGTGTGGAAGAAGGGAAAAGGGTTTGCTGATTTCTCTAGGAACCTCCCAGTTTCCCCCAGTTTTGTGATTCTATTTTGTTCGTGTTCATGTGGAAGGAGCTGTCTTTGGTTCTCCAAATCCCCTGCTGAATCGGTCCTAGGTGGAGAGCTGGTAAGTCTCACCCTTTCATTTAATAGATGGAGGAAACATGCATTACCCAGGATCAGTCAGGTAGTATCAGAGGTAGTATGTGGACCCAGATCCTCTGACTCCAGAGCCATTGTGCTAATGTAGGATTGACCTGTTTGGGATTTGAACCTTCAGCCTGGAGAGCTTTTTGTATTGAATTGATCATCACCAAAAATGCCCTGAACCGTCTGAAGAGAATATACCCAGTTCGCTGTCCATTCTCATTCTGAAGGAGTAAGATAACTCATGGATTTAAAGTTGGAAGCGATCTTAAACACCATTGGATAATCGATTAAAAGCTGGAAGGTACCCTAGAGGTCATCCAATGCAATCCTAACTTTATTTTACAGGTAAGGAAACTGAGGCATTTGCTCAAAGGCATATAGTGAGCTATAGAGCTGGTATTTGAACTCAGGCCCCATATTCTAAATCCTGTGTTCTTTCCACTGTATCATCCTGCCTCCATGACAATAATAATAACACAGTCCTTTCATATTCATTATTTCACTTGATTTTCCCAATAGCTTTGAGATACGTATCAGGGATCATTGTTTCTTTTTTATCCACATTGGCATAGCACATGGAGATCCAGCCTCTGAGACCCAGGGTACATCTGACCCTGGGCAAGTCCCATCCTCGGTGCCTGAGGCTACTAAGACAGAGCTTGTTAACTTTTTTTGTCTCATGGTCTTCTTTGGCAGTCTGGTGAAGTCTGGGAGAATATTTTTAAATGTATAAAGTAAAATACATGGGATTAAAATGGAATCCAAAGGTTAGTAAAAATAAATGCATATATTTTTTCCCATCTAAGTTCACAGACCACCCCCATTTCCCCTAAGTCTATCCATGGCTTCCCACTATCAATTCTTGGTTCTCCATTTCTGAAATTGTGGGTTGCAAAGGTGTTGATACCTGTTAGTGGATGGGGTTTCCTAACCTGAAGTTACGTCTGTCAGTAAAATCATAGATTCTGCCCACAATGGATGAACGAAGGAAGGAATGAATGAATAAATAAATAGCTAACATTTTTATAGCATTTAAAGGTTTGCAAGGTACTTTTCATATAGTATCACATTTGATCTTCACAGACCAGGGGCCTGAAACTCACAGAAGCTAGCGACTTATTCAACATCTCATTGTCTCGTCCTCATAACAGTTCATTAATAGCAGAGCCAAAAATCAAAACCCAGATCTCTGGGCCCTTAGGCCCAGACTCTTGTTACTTCACTGAATTCTGGAGGCCTTAGGTTGGAATTCAGGAGTGGGGAAACCCACAAGACCCTCAGGAGTGGGGAACCTTCGGCCTCAAGATCACATGTGGCCCTCTAGGTCCATGCCGCACTTAAGGACCTAGAGGGCCACAGGTTCCCCACCCCCTTCGTCTAGCCTATTTCTTCTTTCCTTAAATGATGTCCCCAGGTCCCTAAGGCCCAAAGAACTCGACAAAAGCCACTGGCAAAGAGTGGAGTAATTGAGGGAAGAGAACCGTGAGTGAGTGGGCTGAGGTTGGGGGTAGAAAGAAGAAGGGAGGAAATCCCTCCTTGGGTTCTCTGGGAAAGTATCCCAAATGTGGGAGGTGTTTCTGCCAATCCGGCTGGTGTCTGGTGTCTGGGGAAGCAGAGTTACTGCTCATCTCCCAGTCAGACTTCCCGCACAAGCCACAGCTGACAGTGCTGAAGGGGGAGGCGATTTGGGTCAAGTCCCCTGGGGGATGTAAACACTTGAAAATCAGGCTCATTCCCCTATACCTATTCCTTGTTCCCTCCTGGGATAGCCAGTTTTACCCAATAAAAGTTCCAGGTATTTTTCCCCCTAGACAGCACAGCCCTAAGAGATAAAGTCTCCGTGGGCTTGAGAGAAATGCAGAATTGCCAGAGGAGACTCAACCTGCTCTCCAATTCTGTTTAACCCAAGTGACTGTTTGCTATTTAGCTTGAG